AGGGACCCCACTGTTTATACAGGTCTAAGCAGAAGGGAAATCTTTATCCTTAGAAATCTTTGTGTGTGGCCTTCAAGGTAGATGAAGTCAAATGCTTACTCTGTCACTACATCTGTAAGCTGTAGGTAATCACATCACCTCCTGTGCCTCGATTTTCTCATCTATAAAACCCAAATGCTGATCCCTCCCATCTATAAAATTCTTTTTATTCAAAATGATACACTGCATCCTTAATCCCAAGGTGACTTCAACTCTGATTCAACCTCTGAAAGCATAAGAGAGCAATATCTATAAGTTTCCAAATAGTCCCCCCCCCCCAAAAAAAAGTCTCATATAGTCACAAAACACCCCTTCTTCTCACAATAATATCCTTCGTTGCCAGAGGATACAGACACAGCGCAGAGGTGAGAGTAGGCACACTGTACCATTTGGACAGACAACACATTGCACACACTGGCTCTGAGATCTGGAATTCTGTTCTAGCACTCTCAACACTATTGGATGGCTGCCACCTGAACCAAGAAGTTTATTTAAATCTAGTTTGTTGGAGAAATCGAGAACATTTGAAGAACTTGGCAATGAGTCACCCAGGATTTCTGACTTGTCTGCTTCCAATGACATCTGAGAATGGCAATTTCCTAATATCTTCTCAGTGAAATCTGATAAGTATGAAATTTATAACAATGACAAGCTAAAGCCTAGTTCTGAAAAATGGCCTGTTTCTAAGCCCAAATCCTCTCTCCTTCTCCAAACTAACTAAGTATTTTGGGCATACTAGCAAACCAAAAAGGAAAAAAAAAACAAAAAATCTTAGCCTAAGTGGGAACCAAATTCATGTATGGTTGTTGCCAGTATCAGTTATCCGGTTTGCTTCTTCACAAATTTCAACAGCCACTGATCTGGCAAGCTTCAGATGTGCATACAACATTAAAAATTCTCTTAACAGAATTACAAAAACCCCAGAGGATGGAGTACAGATTTCAGAAGCTTGCAACAGACTCAAATAATTTCAAAAGGGCATCTCAGGTGCAAACATGAGCAAGAACTAAATGCAATGGAGCATGACCACGAACACAGATTTCTCAGAAGCCTGTTAATCAAGGACTACCAACCCCTGGAATTCACTTCTATCACTCAGCACCCAGCTCTCAAATAGGACCACAGTACCAAACTACTAGGCTTCATGCAGTATTAATATTAGTGACAACAAAGCTTTTGGCAAAGTCATCCTCTACCCTCTCTCATGATTAGAAGACAGAATCAAGATTTTAAAAATCTCAAAGGACCCAAAGACCAGACGACAATAAACAGGATAACATTGAACAGAAGAAAAAAAACAAACAAAGACTTCCACTCAACTTTACACACAAAACATCTGCCCAGTGACTACAGGATGGATCAACTCCTACAACAAATATCTGGAGTGTTTACTGTCCGGAACCTACACGAGTCTGTGCTACACGCTATGTTTTTTGTTTTTTGTTTTTTTAGGGCGGTGTTTTGACCTTAAGCTGCACTAAGTAGATGCTTATGCTTTGGTATCAGGAAACAGCTGTTCTACTGTACTGCTGGCTGACCAGATCCCCTCTCAATTACCATATTCAATTCCAGACAACCATTACTCTCCGAGAGACACTGACAGACTGAGAAGACACCTAGAAACCATGTCCCACCCAGGACTGTGAAAAGAGGTGGGACTATTTTGCATGGAGAAAAATTGATTAGGGGGAGGGAGACATCATATTGTCTTTGTGCACTGAAAGCCTTGTTCCTTGGAAGTGCGTAGTTCCAGAGGAATAGAATCAATGGCTAGAAGTTTCAAGGAGGCAGTCCTCAGCTCAAATAATAAATATCTACAGTCCAAAGATATAATGGCATGCCTTCAAAAGTACAGCAAGACCTCGAATAACATCGTTTCATTTGAGGTCATTTTGTTACAACCCTGATGAGATGCCGTAGGAACTTTGAAATCTTGTTTATATCAATTAGCCTATGATAAAACAAGTGTCATTATACACTGAGTGGCCAGATTATTATGGTCTCTGAACTCATAATAATCTGGCCACTCAGTTTGTGTGTGTGTGTGTGTGTATTAGAGGCCAGGTGCATGAATTCACACATCGGTGGGGTTTGGTCAGCCTGGCCAGCGCGAGGGGACATGGGCGGTTGGCTGGCCTGCCTGCTGGTCGAACTTCTGGTCGAGGGAACAATTTGCATATCAGCCTTTTATTACATAGGATATACACTGAGTGGCCAGACTATTATGTGTTCAGAGAGCATAATAATCTGGCTACTCAGTGCATATTGTCTTGCTAAGAGTGAGGTCACTTAACATTTGAGTTCCCTGTTCCTTGGGGAGTTTAAACAGAGGCTGCCTAGCGAGTGTAATAATGTACTAATAAAGTTAGATCAGGATCTCCCTAGAATCCCAGTTCCCACTTACCCAACATTAGATATACTGACCTACTAGCTCACCTGCCATGATCTCAAGAATGCCCTTTGCTTCTTAGGATTTGCCTAGATCCTAATCACATCAGGCCTCCGAACAGCAGAAGTCTCCTAGATTGGCTTTCTAACCCGTTTCCCCCACATGTCAAGAAGGCCTTTCCCTTCAAGACCTACTCTGAGATGCAACTTCACTTCACAGTGGCCTTTCTGTTCACTCTCTTGCACAGGATTTCTCAACCCTGAAACTACTGGCTATTTAGACAGGCTAATTCTCTGTTGTGGGGCAATAACCTGGGCACTGCAGGATGTTTAGCAGGATCCCTGGCCTCTACCCACTAGATGTCAGTAGCACCTGCCTCTCAGCTCTGACAAGCAAAAAACATCGCCAAATGTCTGCTGGAAGGCGAAACCACCCCTCGTGGAGAGCCACTCTTCTTGAGGCAAATGATTAACACCACTGTCTTGTGGCTCAAGTTTTCCACTAACTAGATTCTTTCTACCTTCCTTCATTAGTCATGTTCTCAGCTCCAGCCAGCAAACCTATTTACTATTTTTGACCTATGACAGATCTCAAAGCTTCCCCTAAGGGATGTTCCTTCCTGCTTCTCCCACACAAGCAGCACTTCCATCCGGCTCCGAACACCATTTCCACTTTCAGTATTCCTGGACCTTCCAGACAAAGGCAATGTTTCCTTCAGGTGGCAACCTCACGTGCACCTCTTACCTGCCCTCTATTCGTTCAAGAATCCTCTCCTTCCTTGTTAAGGCATCGCAGCACCCACTCTGGTTCTCTGCTGCCTGCTGGTACTCAATATGGACTGCCATTTCTTAGATGTCAAAGAGCAGCTCCCATTATATGTGAAATCCCTTACCAAATACCATCTTAAGAACATATGATCGTGAGTAGAGTTTTTTAAAAATATATTTTTATTGATTTATTGAAGAAGGGAGAGGGAGAGAGAGACAGAAACATGAATGATGAGAGAGAATCATTGATTGGCTGCCTCCTGCACGCCCCCTACGGGGGATAAAGCTCACAACCGGGACGTGTGCCCTGACCAGGAATGGAACTACCATCTCCTCGACTTTCAACCACTGAGCCAAGCCAGCCAGGCCATAAGTACAGTTTTGATGAAACTATTTTTTCATAGCCGCTGCCAATTTACCTACATTACTGAGACTGAACCAAGTCTAATTTCCAAAATACAGTTACCAAAAAACAATTTAGCTATTGCAATATACCAAACACATCAAAATTTTCTAAAATTAATAATGAAAAAAAAAAAAAAAAAGCTCTGCACAATATAAATGTTAAGGAAAAAAGGCCAAGTTTTGTGTTGTTTGTTGTTTATATATATAATTCTGGAAACCTTGGCGGGGAGAAAAAGATAGGTACGTGGCTCAATACTTTTACTGTTTCAACATAATGGAACACACTGGGGGAATGGTCACTTAAGGTCAGTTTTCTCTCCAGCCTTCTAAGGTGTTAAGTTTTAATCAAGAGAGTACATACACACCCACACTTCAATGCAAAGTAGAAAAATCTAAGATGAAATGTTAAAATATATAAATAGACCATGTCAATTCATGATTGTGAATTTCCCCTCTCCAGCTCCATGGACTACCTAAATCATCACTTTATGGGAAGCTCTCAAATAACCTAGTGAGACCAACCCCTCCAAATCAAACTTTGCCCGATTTGTATTTTAACTACCTCTCTCACCTCAGGATCTTTCCTGTCTTGCTCTTGCATTTTTAATGTCAAACGTAGAGGCCACAACTCTAATCCTGGCCTAGCTGATGGTGTTTGGTCAAGTGTTTATAAACTGTATAAATACAAATGTTCTTTGAAGACCCGGTTTACTGGTTATGGTCCAGGATTCTTCCCACAAGTCTGTAAGAACCAGAAGCCCCAGCAGCGTTAGCGGGGGGAAGGCCTGAATCACAGTCATTCTTGGCACCTGGAAGTGCCCTTTGGTTGTTTATCAGGTAAACAGCGCTCACCATTTCTGCTGACAGGAATTCCCTACAGGGTCCCAGACTCTTCCAGCGCCCAGGGCGGAACACATAGTAGGTGCTCAATAAACGCTGACCGAATGGCATGGTATTACCAAAGCCGCTGAGGAAAGTTTCCAGACGGCCAGCTATCTCTTGACTACTGTGTCTCTTTCAAAGTTATGTCCTAATCGCTTTCCTTGCCCAACAAGAACTATTTCTCAAACTCAAGAAGGAATCTGCAAAGCTGAAGGAGCCATGTATGAGAACAAGCGGTTCCCCTCTTTCCCCCCCCCCACCCCCCCCGCCACCACCCGGGGCTAGGACCTTCCCAACACCTCTTCCCTACATCTGTTTACCTCCTGAGAACCCTCCCTCTCATCTCTGCTTTTTCTTTCGGAAAACCCTACCTTCCCATCTTGTGCCACACACACACACACACACACCCAAATGTGCACCGGGTGGGACGCCACACCCGATCTCCCCTCTCCACCACGGACCTACCTTCCTTCCCTGGACCTGTAGCAGCTTTTCTCCACCGCGGCTGGCTTTTTAAGACACCAAAAACCTTATTTCTTCATCCGTAAGAGATACTCCAAGGACCCCGGAAAGAGGAAGGCCCCTCGGTACCCTCCAGAAAGAGGAGGTGACGGTTCTCTGGGCAACCATCCCCCGGCCCTACTCCTCTCCCAGCCCCCGGACAGGATCCCAGCCCCGGTCCCGCTCCCGAGTGCCCACGCCGCCGAACAAGCTGGAAGCGGATCTTACCGGTACCCAACCCGGAGCCGCCGCCGCGGGCTGGGTGCACCTGCGCGCCTCCGGCTCCCTCCGCCCCGCGCCGGGGGCGGGGCGCGGCCTCACGTCCCGGCCCACCCGGCGGCGCGGGGAGCAGCGGGAGGCGTTCCCGGGGAAGTTCAAGGGCTCACCTTCGGCGCACCGGGCCCGCCAGGCCAGACCCGAACCCCCACCTCCGGGAGGACTCGGCGGAGCCGCACCCGGGTGTCCCCGCCCTTCCGACTGGGCGGAGGGAGGCGCAGGAGCGCGCGCCCGGAGGGGCCGGAGGGAGGCGGCACGGCCTCCCCGCCCGCAGGGCCCGCCGCCCAGGCGCCCGCCGCTACCACAGCCCAAAGCGGAGCAACCTCCCGGGCCCGCGGGGCCAGAGGCGGGAGCCCAGCCCGGCCCCGATCGCCGCCCGCTACGCCCCTTTCCGCCCCCTCCGCTCGGGCCGCGGCGTCGGGGGCAGGACGCCTGCGCGCTCGGGCGCGGCTCCCACCTGCGCGGCCCGGCCCCGGCCCGGGAGAGGGGCGCACCCACCTTGGGGGACAGACGGCCCCGGCCCGGGAGAGGGGCGCACCCACCTTGGGGGACAGACGGCCCGGGCAGCTCGGCCGCCGAGCCCGGCTTAGGCGGAGGCGGGCGGCGGCGGCATCACCTGCGGTGGCCGCTGCACCGGGACGCGGCGGGGGCGCGCGGCGCCCTGGACCCGACTCCCGCGGCCCCGCCCGCGGCGGCCACCTGGAAGCGCGGCGGAGGAGCCGGGGCACCCCGGGCGGCGGCGGCGGCGGCGAGCGGAGCAGCAGCACATGACTCTGTAACAGGGGGAATCAGACAAAGCGTAACATGGACTCCGGGTCCGTGCGGGCGCCGCTGCTCCGGGGCCAACCGCGGCCGGCGAGCGCCGCCACTGGCTCGGCCGCAGCCAATGGGGCGGGCGCGGGCCTCCATGTGATTGCGGGCGCTGGCCCCGGGGCTCCGGCGCGCCTTCCGAGGGTCCGCCGCTTCCGCAGCCTGGCCGGTGGGCTGGCGGGGCTGGGGGTGCGGCCAGTCGGGAGCCCGGGGTCGGGGACGGGCGGCGAGAGGCCGCCAGACGCCGAGCAGGTGCACGGGCCGGGTCCATGTCGCAGAGACTATGCAGAAGCCCACCTGGGCAGACCGGGCTCCCGCTGCCGCTGTCATGGGGGGGGGGGGGGGGGGGGGGGGAGGGGGACGAGAAAAGGTCAGGAACCTTCGCCCTTCCCATTCCTAGGTCTAAACTGCCCATATTCAGACTTGGGGAGAAATGCAATGAAATGGGGAAATTTGCATAAAAATCCAATAAGCGGCTTCCAACCCTAAGGAGAAAGTACTTACCTAGGATCTAGGGCACACACAACTTGGTCTTGGCACGAATAGCGTTTGTTCTGTTCCTTCTAATAAAGATATATTGGGGAGTCAGTTCTTGTCATCCGAGTCTCCTCTTTCCCCCCTCCATTCCTTTTCTGCCTAAAACGTCTTGTATCTGAAGCAGGCAGATGAAGAAAGGTTGACCTCTGCGAAGAGGTGTTTTCCAACCTGATGGTTTTCCCTCTTGTTTTTGTTGTGAGGTCAAAGTACACATATTTGCAGTCTTTTTGTGTGTGTGAGTGGGAGGAGCAGGGGTCAAGAAATAAAGTGGGGGGTGGGAGCTAGGGGGAGGAATTGTTAGTTTTTAACAAGACAAATGGTTCCAGCCCAGTACTCTATAGCTCATCTAACCTGAATCGACGCATTTCTGTGAATATTGGGAAGTCTCACCTCTCTTCTACCAAAATGTCTCCCCCATGTCAGTGAATGTTCAATCAACATTAATTCAGCACCTAAAATGTTCCTAAGCATTCTACGCCAAATGTGAACAGGTCCTGGGGAAGGTGTGAGTTCAGAGATGGCGAGCCACTAAAGAGAGTGGTGTTCTAGAGCACATGTGTCAAACACAAGGCCCGCTGGCCAAATCCGTCCCACCAGGCCTTGCAATGTGGCCTGCACTGCGCTGTCATCACTGCACTCCGCTGCGTTTCCATCACAATGACAGTTTATGACTGTTCAGTAAACCATTCGGCCCGCGATTTAGGCTGGATTTTAGATTTTGGCCCCTTCTCTGATTGAGTTCGACACCCCTATTCTAGAGTTTCAGGAACCCCTAGAAGGGGGTGATAGAACTGACTGGTCCTGAGCCCTTGTTCCCCAGGCGCCGGAAGTAAAGGGGGCAGCCCTGGCCGGGAGGAGGATGAACAGAGAGGGCTGGAGCACACTCCAGGGACTGGGCTAGACCAGTTACAAGATGACATTAGATGTTGAGCCCTCCTGACCTCTTGCTTTCTCACATTCCTTTGCCCTGTCCCTCATGCCAGCAGCCTCTCCTGTTCCACACGCCCAGCCAAGGAGGTGTGTGGGCAGGAGCTGTGTGGTCAGCGATCTAATCACAGCACAGATTTGCTGATCTGTGAGGTTAGAGCAGTTTGAAAACTACCATCTAGTGGTGTGATATTTTGATTCAAAACACCTTGCTATTAGAATTAATTTGGACTGTTTTGCTGTCAGTAAAAACACTTTGTCCTGTGTTTTGGTCCTCCGTGGGTTTTAAACTATGGTTCTAGATGTGAGAGAAATGTGTTTTTAAGATGGCTATAAATTGAGAAAAGGGAAAGTAACACTCAGGAAACAGTCAAATGTGGACACAGAGTTATTCTCATCCACTATGACTGTGGGTATAAATTGGATATACTCCTTTGGAGGGCAGTTTGGCAGTTTTTAATAAAATAATATGTGTGTTTCTTTGACCAGGCAATTTGACATCTAGGAATTTATACTTTGAACACATTTATGCCAAATGTATGTATTTCCAAAATGCACCTATGTACAAAACCATATGTGTACATGTATATTTTTGCAGCACTGTTTATAATAGTGAAAACACATGTAAAAGTAATAAAATTCCAGTTGGGAAACTAGGTAAGCAAACTATTCTAGATTTGTAGAAGAAAAACCATAAAAAGCTGTTAATAAAAATAAGAGATCTATTTGTACCAACATGGAAGAATGCCAAAAATCTGTAAGTAAAAAAAGCAAGTTGAAGAACAATATGAATTTTATGATACAATTTTTATTTATATTTCATGTTATTAAATGTATGCTTGTAAGATATTTAGAAGTACTAGTATACATAACAAGTAGATAACTGGTTATGTCTGGATATGGGATTACCACATCCTGGCTGTTCACTTCCTGTTGCAAAATTCTGTATGTTTGAATTGCTTTTTATATTGAGCACCTATTAGAAAAATAATAAACAAGGATTTTAAAGGTGAAATTGGTAAGAGCTCTACCAATGACAAAATAATGAAAGATCACTGATGGTCTAGGTCCTAGTGGACGGCAAACTCATTAGTCAACAGAGCCAAATGTCAACAGAACAACGATTGAAATTTCTTTTGAGAGCCACATTTTTAAAACTTAAACTTCTTCTATCGCCATTTCTTCAAAAATAGACTCGCCCAGGCCATGGTGTTTTGTGGAAGAGCCCCACTCAAGGGGCCAAAGAGCCACATATGGCTCAAGAGCCGCAGTTTGCCGGCCACAGGTCTAGGATATAAAAAGCTGTCAGCTTCTCCTACTCCCCAAGGAAGACAAATGGGAAGGAGGCAGCAAAGGACAATAACTGATTTGACATTGGATTCAAAATTTAAAATATGATTTTTAAAAAAGGATTCTGAAGTTACACTAGACATGCCTACAGAAATGAGGTGGCAGAAACACAATAATGTGTCTAGGAAGTTCTACTCAACAAAACCTTACAGAGCACGTACTGTCCCTTACTGAGTTGCTATGCTCAGGAAGGGCAACTGTTCCAGCACATGGTAACTCTGTATCACACGAATAATAAAATAGCTACAGTGCTGATCAGGGGCCAGGCACTTCTTTCCTATATGTTACATAGATTCACTTTCAGACTTCATCACAGCCCTGTGAGATAGATACAGTCACTATCCTTGTTTTTTAGACAGGAAATGAAGGCATGGAGAGGTAAAAGAAGTAGCTCAAAATCACCCAGCCTTTAAGTGGCAGAGCAAGACAAATTTTAAGTCAGGCAGCCTGGCCCTAGAGTCCCATACTCCTCCTGGAGGTACTGTCTAAAAAGATCAACTAAGAGAAGGCCATTATGTGTGCATCTCCTTGTACCAAGAATTGAAATGCTAAGTTGATTTGTGCTTATCTAAATGACTACCGTGTTTCCCCGAAAATAAGACATCCCCTGAAAATAAGACCTAGCACAACTTTTGGAGAAAATCTTAATATAAGACACTGTCTTATTTTGGGGGAAACAGGGTAGATGCCCTGTGCATGCAATTCGTGCATGGGTAGGGTCCCTAGGCCTGGCCAGCAATCAGGGCCGATCGAGGTCTTCCAGCTGCTGCTGTCCGGGGCCTTCCTTTGTTCTGCACCGCCCCCTAGTGGTCAGTTCACATCATAGCAAGTGATCAAACTCCCAGTCTCCCTGTCAAACTCCTGAGGAGACACTTTGCATATTAGCCTTTTATACTACAATATATACTAGAGGCCCAGTGCATGGATTCCTGCACATTGAAAGAAAATAAATTAGAAGGTAGCCAACAGGGCAGGACTGGGCCAGATGGGCCAGAAACACCCTAGAGCCAAACTCCTATGGTCCCTTACCAGCTGGCCTCACCTGGGGCGATTGAAATTTCTTTTGAGAGCAAAATTTGTTAAATCTAAACTTCTAAGGGCAGGTGCTGGGGCTCAAAGGGCATCTGCAGAATGAGTGGGGTTCCTCAGGCAGATGTGGTCCCTCTGCCTGGCCTGTGGGGATTGGGCTGAAACCAGCAGTCCAACATCCCCTGAGGGGTCCCATAGTGCAAGAGGACACTCTGCAAAGATGCTGTTGCTCGGCAGCTCCAGCATTGAGCATCTGCCCCCTGGTGGTCAGTGTGTGTCATACCTGTCAGCCTTCGGCTGGTCACTTAGCCTTTTATATATATATATATATATATTTTAGGTCTAGTAATAATTAATGTCGTTTTCTAATACTTTTTTTAAATCGAATTTATTTAAACAATACAACAAAATTTAATCAACAATATAGTTGCCGTTGTTTTCTACTACTTGTGCCCAACGCTCAGGAAGCATTTTAATCCCTCTGTTGTAAAATTCTTGTGATTTTGATGCAAAAAATTCGGTCAATGCATTTTTGAGGCATTCTTCATTATTAAATTTTTTTCCAAGAAGAAAGTTTTGCAAAGAACGAAACCAATGGTAATCGGAAGGGGCAATATCAGGAGAATATGCAGGTTGAGGGAGAACTTCCCATTCCAACTGGCGCAGTTTTTCAGCAGTGATTCTTGCAGTATGCGGTCGTGCGTTATCATGGTGAAGAATTACGCCCTTCCGATTAATCAGTGCGGGTTCTTTTTCTCTTAAAGCTTGGGCTAACCTTTCCAATTGGGCACTATACACTGCACTTGTAATGGTTTGGGTAGATGGTAAAAGTTCATAATGAAGAATTCCTTTAAAATTCCACCAAACACACAACATCACTTTTTTCGCATGCAAGTCAGATTTTGGCGTGGGCTGCGGAGCCTCATTTTTGTCCAACCATTGAGGCCGCCTTTTCAAATTAACATATAACACCCATTTTTCATCTCCAGTAACAATTTACTCTAAAAAGGGCAAACGGTTTTGACGAGAGAGGAGCGAACTGCAAATTGTGACTCTTTGATTACGGTTGTTGTCGGTCAACTCATGAGGAACCCATTTTCCAAACTTTTGGACTTTGCCAAGTGCACGCAATTGATTGGAAATTGTTTTTTGTGAACAATTTAAAGTTGTCGCAAGCTCTTGTTGGGTAATTTGAGGAATTTGCACCAAAAGAGCTTGAAGAGCTTCTTGATCAAAATTGGACACACGGCCTCGACCACTCTTGTCATCTAACGAAAAATTTCCCTCGCGAAATTTCTCAAACCAACGCTGGCATTTTCTGGCGCTAACTGCATATTGACCAAGAGCACTACAGATGTTTTTTGCAGCCTCACTTGCTTTTCTTCCTAATTGGAACTCGTAAAGCATGCAGTGCCGAATATGCTCTTCATCCGCCATCTTCTTAGCCCTAGTTTTGCAACAAAAACCAAACCAAACACAAACTTTTTCAAGCAAAACTTGTTAATTGCACTTCACACGTTCTGTAGATACCACGTGTTTGAAGGTTATGTCAATACAAGTCAACGCCAAGCAAGATTTTAAACGAATGTTTAAAAACGACATTAATTACTACTAGACCCGATAGATACATAGCCTGTGACATGCCCTAAGGCTCCCAATACACATTAAATGAGTGAATGAATGAATGACTTTTCTATTTGAGAAGAAACTAAGCTCCTTGGAGGAGTAATTTTGCATTCTTCCTCTTCTCATCACCTAGTAGAGCAATATGAATCTCAATAATCTCAATGTTAAAAAATTGTAAAGAAATCAAGCTTTGTAAATTGATCCCAAATACACTGGCATAGCTTATGAAGGATATCATGGTAAATTTTTTGTGAAGAATAGCCCTGGAAAGCGGGGCTAAATCTGGACATATCTACATAGCCATACATAAATAAATATAGAATATACTTGCTTGGAAAGTGCCAGTAATGCTGAAGGGATACATAATTTCAAATTATTTGAGCCTCTCTCTTTCACCTCTATTGGTTTTTTAAATGGGGGTAGTAATAATAATAAATATCTCCAGTTATTGTGAAGCCAAGGATTAAATGACATGGAAATGGCTTACCCCAGTACCTAGAACATAGGTATTGCTCAGAAACTGTTATCTATTATATGTGTCCACTTATTATAAGTGCAACCTATTTTTTAAATTATGACTATAAATACCACAGCTAACATAAATTATAACAGCCGAGAGCTCAAATACATAAAATGCTTTGAAATTATATAGTAGAGGCTCAGCCTAAGCAAACAGTAAAAGTAGTCTTCAGCTTTCTCTTCTTTTCCAAGACAGTACATTCACTCCCTGCAAGGACCTCACCCGGTCATGGAGCTTTGAATTCCCTCTCCATGCCAACAACTCCACATTTGTATCTCCACCATAGTTCTCTCTCCTGAGCTCTAGTTTACATTTCTAACTGCTTACTTGGTTCCCAGGAACCTCACACTTAACAAGTTCAAAAACAAACTCCTGATTTCTTCTGGTGCACTACCTCCTACTTTCCCCTTCTATTTCCTTAGAAGGATTAAAACCATTTCGCTTCTTAGAATTAACCCTCAGCTTGGCAGGAGGAAGCAATCCTCTCCATCCTTCATAGCTGAGAAAGTGGAAATGCTGGCAACTAGATTGGAAATGAGCAGGTGGAGGGAGAACAGGGTGGAGGAAATGAAACTGGGTGAAGTGTGTGGGTAGCACTCCATGAGTACTGAAGTAACAAGCTCCAAAGAGGAAGGGGAATTTCAGACTGCTATAGTTAGAAATAATATGATGAAATTGAAACCAGAAAAACTAAGGTCACATGTCTTAATCAACCACAATGAGAAGAAAGAAGTGGATCTAGCCCTAACCGGTTTGGCTCAGTGGATAGAGCGTCTGCCTGCGGACTGAAGGGTCCTGGGTTCAACCTTGATTATGGCCTGGATCCCCAGTAGGGGTGTGCAGGAGGCAGCTGATCAATGTTTCTCATCCATGTTTCTAACTCTCTATTCCTACCCCTTCTTTTCTGTAAAAATCAATAAAATATATTTAAAAACAAAGAAAGAAGTGGATCTATACCTTCTAAAACGGATTCATAGCATGAAAATATTAGGGTTGCCTCTTCAAGTAAGCCTGTGCTTCTTAATTGATAGCCTGGAACTCAGTGTTTTCCTCACTTGGGAAATATATTTTTAAAAGTCATAAGGGGATTGTTTATCCACTTGAAAATCTGTACCCATATCCTTTGCCTTCCTGCCTGTACTATTAGTGATGAATGACCCATGCTTTTATGGAAACCCAGTCTTTTCACTTTTGCACCAGTCCGATCTAATTTCAAACGGTAACTCCAGCAATTGTTTCCCAGCACCTATATCATTGATTTTATTTTTTTTTTTACTCTCTACTGTAGGGGTGTCGAACTCAATCAGAGAAGGGGCCAAAATCTAAAATCCAGCCTAAATCGAGGGCCGAATGGTTTACTGAACAGTCATAAACTGTCATTGTGATGGAAACGCAGCGGAGTGCAGTGATGACAGCGCGGTGCGGGCCACATTGCAAGGCCTGGTGGGACGGATTTGGCCAGCGGGCCTTGTGTTTGACACATGTGCTCTACTGGATGATTGCCACCACCATTTTTAAAAGTTGTTATTTCTCCCATCTTAAGGAATAAAGTGTCTCTTGACCTTGCTTCCCACTCCACTTCTCTGCTGTCCTTTGCATCTAAACATCTCAGAAGAAGTGTTTATACTCACTGTCTCCAATCCCTTCCTTCCCATATTTCTTCTACTCACTTTTTTAAAATATTTTTTTCACTTCATTTATTCCTTTAAAATGGGTCATTTCATACGGCATTCGGATGTTTAAAATCATACACTTCATAAATAAAATCAATGCATCTTAATGACCATGGCAATGTCACATCTCCCAGATAGCAGCAGTGCACTAACTGAAAAAAAAAAAAAATACTGACAGACCAAAGAACATTTTTAAAACCACAAAGCACTATCCATTTTCACTAAGAAAAACATATTCTTATAACAAGAAAAACATAATTTTGTTCTGGTTTGCTCTTACCTACTGCTTTTTCAAGCCCCAGTCTAAGGCTCTAGGTCTGACAGTTTTGTGGTTTTCTTGCTTAAGGTATTCCTATTCTACTGCATTAATACAGAAAATATATATTCTTGACAAGCTATGCATATTTATTTTGTATCTTAAGCTGAATTCAATACTTTTTAAAAGGAAGAATTACTTTGCTAAGGAAATTGTGTTT